ATTTGACGGCCAGCTTCGAAATGCACGAGCGGATGTGACGTCAAAAAAAGATTCCATGAAACCTGCCATACTATTTGTAAAAAGCATAATTAAGATAAACTTTATTAATTTTGGAAATTATTTGTAAACATTTCAAAAAAGCAAGAAAAAAAAGGTTAAATTTTCCTTGTTAAGAGTAAAATCACATTCATTTTTACTTTTTTTAATGTCTATTTAAATATTTGTCAGTAATAGATATTCGGAAGTGACTTCGGTTTTATTAATTTAAATAATTCCAATTTGAATGACGAACAACTTCGTCTCAAACGAAGCTTAGTCGTAATATAACAAACCAAAACGTGAAACCAAAACATTATAAACAAGATTGAGATGTCTACTCTTAATTTTCTATTTAACGTGATAAGCGTATTTTTGGTATGATATAAAGTTAAGAATTATGAGCGAATCTCACCTCCGCCTGTTCCTTCCCGTAGACCTTTCTCGCCATATTTGTCATAAAGATCTCGTTTCTCAGGGTTTGAAAGCACGTCATAGGCAAAGCTAATTTCTTTAAACTACAAAAGAAATGTCAAATTAACCATCGACGTCCTTGATAAACATAAAGCGATTTTTAAGAGCCGCGTCTTTTCTTACCAGTTCGCCGGTTTCAGGGTTCTTATCTGGATGAAGTTCTTTGGCTCGCTTCCTGTAAGCCTAGTGCCAAAAAAGACGATATTTTAGACATGAAAATCGAGGTTTTTGAACAAATTTTTTTACCCTACATGTAGTTTGATAATCACTGAAGATATGTAAACTGTTGAAATAGCTGTTAAAACCTTTTTTATCTCAGCGTCAGAAGCATTTTGAGTGACTCCTAGTAATTCATACAACCTCGTGTCCGCCATATTGAGCAACTTGGACTTTCACTCAAACCGGTCCATGACGTCATGCACTTGGGAACCAGGCCTTACTGCTGACCCTGCAAGGGCTGGGAACCAGACGTTTTATGACTTATGAATTTTAACTTCAATAATATTTGATTAGTATTTTTACACAAGTGAATGTGATAAACCCGGCGCTCATTGGTCACAATTGACGCCTTATGCTGCTATATTCACCTACATTAATTTTGAATTTAATTATGAAGTTTAAAAACTTCAGTAATATTTATTAGCCTTTTACACAAGTGCCTACATTCACATCCCTGGGACACGTCCCTGCTTCATTTTCTTGAGTGTATGCATGCTGTATTTATGTTTTAAATGTGTTCTTTTATCTTCTTTTTTTCTCTTTTTTGTGTATTTATACTAAAACAATTATTCACCTCAGACTCAGTGAATATCGGACATCAACTTCGTTGCATCATCACATTATTGTCAAAGTAGTGTGACCAACGGAAAGAGCGCGCGCTAGTTGATGTCAGGTTGATCTGTCTGTCCTCATATTGATGATAAAAAATAACCAATCTGCGCGCAAGAAGTTTGTAAGTTATTGTAAAATAATTTACCTCGCCTCTCAAAGACTCGCGTCTCGGTAAATTTAACAAATCTCTCAAAGATTTCTATTGTCTGTCCTCTTATTGACCATAGTTGAACATCTTAAAATGTTCAAAACTCAAGTTACTAAACTCAAGTGGAAGCACGAGTGCAGCTGTCAACCAATCAAATAGCGAGAATACGCTCTGTTCGTAAAAAATAGACTTGAAAATAGAGTTTCTCGCGCTGTGATCAGTCGAGCGACCAGTGATTCTGAGACGATAATCACTGCTCGAACGTTGATTATGAAGTCCCCCAAAGTCTGCGAAGAATTATTAAATAACAGATATTTCACAGTGGATAACGGTCTTCCATGGAGTAGGGGCCGGGATATAGCGGCTGGGATGAACTGGCGAATGACCACAGGGATCCCGGCTGCGGAGAGCGTGAGCAATGTTCTTAGTGCCCAGTCCACACCGGCGGCCATCAGAACAAAACAAAATGGACGAAAGAGGTCTTCAGACTTTGAAGGAAATAGCTTCAAAAGCGATCGACAACATCGAAAAAGAACTGTTCGACCTCAATCAAAAGATTTGGAAGACACCTGAGCTGGGATTTGAAGAGAAGTTTGCTCACAGCGCGTTGACTGACTTCCTTGAGAAGGCAGGGTTTGAAGTGAGTCGAGGGTTTGGTGGACTAGACACCGCCTTTCGTGCTGTTAGCGGCAAGTCACACAAGTTATCTGTGGGTATTTTGTGCGAGTACGATGCGTTGCCCGGCATAGGCCATGCTTGTGGTCATAACCTGATCTCAGAAGCTGGGGTTGGTGCTGCTATAGGTGAGATATCAATGTTTTCACTGCTCATACGTGACCACACATGCAGCCCAAACAAAGGCTCTGTATAGAGAAAAATACTTTGTGGACTAATAGAGTTGATTAGAACTTATTTACGAATTAAGCTTTCTTTCGTGTTTAATAATACATTTACTTTATTTTACTGTTCCATTCAGTGACCATGTAGCACATGATAAACTATAGTTTTGCTATGCACAGAAACTCCAACCTTGACTTGGAACTATTTTTCGTAATCAATGACCGGAAATGTTAAATAGAGTAGTGTTCAACAAGCGTATTGCACGCAACAAGAGTAAAGGGCCACAATCTGCAAGAATGACTACATGTGGGAACCCCCAGCATGCAACAGGTGGCTGAGGGCGTATGTGCATGAAACCCCTGGCCAGCAGTTTTGGTTTTAAGTTTGCCTAAATTTCATTCAGGTACATTCACCAAATTTAACTTCATCGTTGATCATCATCATCACATCGTCATCAATCATTGACATTGTCATCACCACCGATCACCATTATTTGTTATCATACTCTTCAATCATCAATAATCAATCATGGACATTACCATCTTCACCGATCGCCATCATCATCATGCAAGTCATCATTGATCATCATTATCATCATCTTTGTCAATCATCATCATTATCATCATTATGGATCACCATTATCATGGATTACCATCAACACAGATCACTAACATCACCATGCGCATCATCATTGATCATCATCATCAATCATCAACATAACCATCAAAAATCCCCATCATTACAGATCACCATGATCATTGACCGTCATCATTATCATAACATCATTTTGATTGTCATCACCATTTTGATGACATCATGTTTTTGACATGGTCATTATCATCATTATCAGTATTATTGATCATCATCATCATCGATCTTCTCATTGTAGTCATCATTATCATAATTAATGAAAGATTGAACTTCTATCTTTAGGTCTGAAGGCTGCTCTAGAGGCAGCAGGTATAGAACTTGGTAGAGTGGTGGTCCAAGGAACACCAGCCGAAGAAGGAGGTGGAGGCAAAATCATCATGATTAACAATGGTTGCTTTGACGACCTTGACATTTGTATGATGGTCCATCCAAAACCATTCAACTGCATATACCCCACTTGTCTTGCTCGCAGAGAGGTGACAGTAACATATAACGGGTATGCTGCTCATGCAGCAGCATTTCCCTGGGAAGGCATTAATGCATTAGATGCTGCTATTATGGCATACAATAGTGTGAGTGTCATGAGGCAACAGATGAAACCAACCTGGAGAGTACATGGCATTCTTACTAATGGTGGAGTGAAACCCAATATCATTCCAGATAAAACTTCATTGTTATATTATATTCGAACTCCAACCGAGAGTGAGATGGATATTTTACGTGATAAGGTTCAACTTTGTTTTGAGGCTGCAGCTAAAGCAACAGGTAAGATTTAAAAATTCTTGTTGAATGTTTGATTTTGTGCAGGAAGTGGGTATGCATCTAGATCATGAAAAAAGATCCAAAACTCCAAACGTCTTCATTCCAATAATATGAGCATAATAAGAGGTTTAAGTTTGATACTTTGCTTAAGTGTTCATTATGTGGTCTGAAATAGAGCAAATTAAACCGAATGGGTGTATTGCTTATAAAAAATATGAATTGAATATGAAAAAAAAGGGAATTGTCATGTGGGAAAACATTTAATTCAAACTGAATGGGTCTATATTTCTTAAATGCAATGCTTGTTTAACTCCACTAGCATGTATAATATATTTGTTTTGCCTACAAAGTTTATTATGGTATTATATCTTGCTTCTTTCTTCTTCTTAGGATGTTCAGTTAATATGGTATGGAGTGAGCTGTCATATTCAAATGTGACAACCAATGAAATCTTAGGGAAACTTTACCAAGAAAATGCAGAACAGTTTGGGCTCACGTTTCCACCCAGAAGTGAACAGGAGAAGGCTGCTGTTGGCTCAACTGACATGGGTAATGTATCCCATGTCAAACCATCTATACATCCTTACTTTGATATTGACACTGCCGAGCCCAATCACACGGAAGCATTTACAGCTGCCTCTGGAAGAAAGGAGGCACACAGAATGACTCTGATTCAGTGTAAGGTTTTAGCAAGCGTAGCACTAGATGTTATGTGTAAGAAGGGGTTAATAAAGGAAGTACAAGATGATTTTGACAGAGCGCACAAGTAAGCTAATAACATTGGGATTAAAAAATATGAATAATCTAAGGGGTGAGGTCAAAACAATGGTCCAAAATAGGGACCTGATTTTATGAGTTAAGGTGGCAGGTACAGTAATACCCCCTCCCTCCTCAGAGACCTGTTCAATTGCTCAATACTGGGAGTCTGTAGTGGCAATTGCTATACACAAATATGTTATTTAGCATACATGCAGACAGACAGTCCATTCATGTCTGATTTGGCTTTTAGTTTTGGAGATATTTGGTGACAAAATCTAAGACTTCACTTCCAGAGGTGGTGGGTACCGGGTAACACCACCCCTCCCCCCTAAATCAGTTACCGTGAGATGACAATTGATTTGCCCTCATCCCTAATGAAGGTAGAAGTGGCAGACCACTGTAAAAGGAAGAAAGCAGGGGCTTAATATAATGGTTAATCAGTCACCGGTCATGATCACAAGCAAAATAAGTTTTACATTAGTCCTACTTCATGTCTGGCTAAATGTTACTGGTCAAAATGACCAGCAAGGCAAATATTTGACCATACAAGTCCCACTTCGGGCCGGACATTGGACAATGCCCGGCCATTGTTTTTAAGATCTAAAGAGAGAAAGGGAGGGAGAAGGGGCCATGGTGAGGGGATGAATGGATGGAATGAACAAAGTAAAATTCTTCAAGGCTATACCAATCTCAATTAAATGGTACATTTTAATATAGCTAATATTTTTTTTAGAATAAAGTTTTGAAAACTAATGTGCTTATGTATTAATACCCTTTGGGTCAGGGATGAGTTTTCGTTCAGTACCACTTTTCTTTATTTTAGGCTGCCTCGCTTTGAGACTGTTGCTTATGGAAAGCATTACGATTAGACACTTTAATAAAGATGTACGTATGTATGTATGTATAATAATTATTATAGAAGAGAGAAACAAAAATAACTGTAGCTTGTAACTGCTGAAAAGATTAGCCGCAAACTCATCCCAGACCCACAAAGGATCAATATGTAAAAACAAGAAAGTTTAAATCAAGATATTTTTTTATTCCAAATGAATATATAGTTCATGTAATATATACAGTATGAGTGGCCGTGTTGTATCAGATATGCAAACTGGAGGCGTAGCCGAGCATGGCCACTCTTACTGTAGATTGCTTATCTAGGTTATTTCCTTTGTGTTTCCCTAAAATTTTTAAAATTAAAGTGAATCTGGCAAAGAAAATCCAACTTAAAGTTTATGCAAATGAACACAATTTTGTATCAGATTTACAACACTCTTCACGGTCATGATTTATGTTGTGTTTTCCTCATGAATTATTAATGAGTTTGA